TGCAGCATCTGATCAACCACAAGGCAGCAAATTGATCACCTTCCTCTCACAAGAAAAACTGCTTATATCAGATATAACTTTGGGGCAGCCAGACTGTTAGAATTCTGTAACTAGTAATGAGTTTTGAAAGTGACAGTCTAAAGAAGAAAAAAAAAAATCTACTACTTAGTAGAGCTGTTTTACTCATCACTGCTACCTCCACAAAGGACAGGCAAATAACTGGGGAAAGTAACACCTTGAATAGCTAGATTCACTACAGGTTATTTGCCAGAATCAACAATTAAATAAAAAAGTAGGAGGCCTACTACAAAACACCGATGACTTTGTTACTAATTTGAAGGATAAATTGGTTTTAGACTCACCTGAAAGTGTCTGTTAAACTTGCTAACATTTACTCTGCTGTACTTTCATAATAAGAAAGAAGTGAGGCACAACAGGAAATCTGCAGAGTGAAACAGTTGGTACTGAGCACCCAACACCTGCTAATTGCCAAGCTGTCCCTGTAGACCAAGCACGCACTAACCATTGAAAGACATCTTCAAGGTCAATTTTTTGTAAAAGAAATCTCCTTCCTGCTCCCCAAGACCGTTCTCATTATGCAAACATAAACACCAAAGTATAGACTATCATGAGATTTGCTTGAAACACACACTCCTAATTCAAACAAAACACTTACATAGATACACCCAGAGATACAAAATAGGACACCAGCAACACCTGCACATGCTCATGCATGCAGAGGAATTGTAGTCTGGAGAACAGCAACTCAAAAAGGCTTAAGCTAAACAGTAGTGTAAGCCAGCTTTCTGATTACACTGTTTAATCACAGGTTATCAATACCTTAGAGGTTATCACTATCTTAAAGAACAAAAAGTCAAGCACCATGTCCTGTTAGGCAATAAGATACTAGGCATCCTTGATAGTACAGTCCAAGATAAAAGGAACAGGCACAGTGCTGCTAGTGGCCTCCATGAATCACTGTTTCACTCTTAAAAAAAAAAAAAAAAAGGAAAATCAACCTAAAGACCTTGCTCAGGACCTGATATTTGAAGCAAATATCTAAATTTCAGTCTCCCTCTCTGTAAATCCAGCTGCCCAACCACAGGGTGATGATAATCTGCGATGTATTGGCCCCTTTTGGCCCCCTTTTTTTTAACTTTTTTTTTAATCAACCATAACAGTATTAGAGCGAAAACAACAAAAAAAATTAGAGATGTTTGTAAAATTTGACCAAAGAAAAAACTTACATATACAAGACTTCTTGGGTAGGTGAAGACGACATACCTTAAACCACTTTTTATTAAATTGCCAATTGAAAGTTCAGAGTTCTTCAGTCTTGACAAATTATTCATCTTTACCAATTTTCATAGCTCAAGAGCTAACATCCCACACAACTGATGAAGCCATCTACTTTCAGTGCAGATAGCCAGTAACACAGATTGGCAGGATTTTAAGCTCCCACGTTAGATACGAATGCGTGATGTCCTAAAGAAAAGTAATCTTTCAGTGTACTTTCACTGAAAACGGAATACTGTACTTTTCCTAGTATCAATAGGAAGAATACCTGGATAGACAGAAACTGTCTTTAGAATAAGGCTGCCATCTAGTAGCAGAACAGAGTAAATGCAGAGAAATCTCAAGCCAGAATTTAAACTGTGAACCTGCTGGATGGTCTGACGTGCTATTACACAGAACTATAAACACTGGAAGCATAGTTCTTCAGTAAAAAAGGGAAAAGTAGCAGAAAGCAGAACTTGCTAGACGGTGGTTTATAAACAGGCAGTTCTCCAGTACAATGCTAAACTATTCAGTTCACAACATCAAGTTTATCTAGTCAGGTAACTCAACATGTAGAGGCAGTATAGAGGTAGAGTGGTATTTCTGTGGTGGTGATATACTTGATCTTCTTTCAAGTTAATTAAAAAAACCTGCAGTCTAATTCACTTTTTCTGAAAGAAGACTATTCTTCTGTGTGAGGTCTCATGCTACAAAATGCAGTGAAACAAATACAGCTAGACTGAACCACAAAGACATTCAAAGGCAGGGCCCAAAATCTTATACTTGAACTATAGAGTCGCAAAAAAAAAAATTTTTGCAAAAGCAACTTCCTGAAGTGTTACGTATTTATTCTTGCTTCTTGGAAACGATGCAATTTCCAGGTAAAGTCAGCGCTGCAGTACATAGAATTTTACTCTCTCATCATTTAGCTGTTGCTGGCTTTATTTTAGTTTTGTAGACAGAGATCCAATAACTATAATCTACAATGATTTGCAATAGTGTTTCATCCATTGATCATGTCTAACACACAAAGCAAAAGTTCTTGAGATGTCATCATGTTGATGCCTATTTCATACAACGCATACACTTTCCAGTTCAGTCACCGAATATGTTCCAAGAAATCTGTGTCTTAGCAACTCCACAGCCACAGAGTTACCAGGGCTTTTGGATGATGCTGAAGTGTCCTGTCTATGTAGGAAAGTTTCATGGTTTAGTGCCAGCAATTAAGCACCAGACAGCTGTTCGCTCGCCTTCTCCCTGCAGGTGGGATGGGGGAGAGAATCTGAAAAAGACACGTGGGTTAAGATAAAACCAGTTTAACAGGACAGCAAAAGAAGAGAAAACAACAATGATAATAATAATATTACTGATAAAGGAATATACAAAAATAATTGATGCACAATGCAACAATTGCTCACCACCCAGTGATCAATAGCCTGTCCCTGAGCAGCGATTCGCACCCCCAGGACAACTCCAGTACATACACCGATCATGCCATGTTATGGCAGGGAATATTCCTCTGGCCAATCTGGGTCAGTTGTCCTGGCTGTGCCCTCTCCCAGCTTCTTGTGCACCTCCCCACTGGCAAAGTATGGGAAGCTGAAAAATCCTTAACTTAGTATAAGCGCTGCAACTACTTAGCAGCAAGGCTTAAGCTAAACAGTTTATCAACATTATTCTCATATCAAATCCAAACCACAGCACTATACCAGCCATCAGGAAGAAAAAACAACTCTGTAACAGTCAAAACCAGGACAGAAAGAATTGTTTGTTTCTGGTTGGTGGGAAGAGAAAGTCAAGACTCTTACTTTGCAAGACCCACTGGCAAAGAACCACTCTCTCCCTAGGATATTTTCAAGGCCATCCACTTCCGTCACAACTTTCTCGAAGAAACTGGAAGCCAGAAGGGGAAGAAAAATAGCATGACCACAGGTGGGAAAGAGCTGACAGCAGAGACCTGGGGAAGACAAAGGGAAGAAGTACAGAAATAGAACTCAACCACTGTTTCAAAAGTGTCTCCACCAACAAAGGAGAAAAAAAAGTGGCCTTGCACTTTTGAGAGGTATGAATGCATTTTTCAGTACTTATCAGAGAAGGCACCAATCCAAATATAAAATTCTAAGTTAAATTTTGTCACATCTGAAAACATTTAACTTCAGTCCTCTGACGATAACTTTAATTTCATGTACAGGGGCAGAAAGAAATAGATACCTGTAGGAACGCAGGTTAGAGTGCCAAACAGACTGCATTAGTAGTTCCGTTTGTCCCTTCTTAACGCAGTAAATCTCACTCTAGCAACAGAAGCCTGATCATATCTTGAGTTTTCAAAATTAGAACTTCCCTTTTGTCATTCTGACTTTAATAACTTACCATGCAAACATATCCTCTATCCTTAAGAGTTACTCATCTGTCCTTACTACTGGTATCTGTGACAGGCTACAGTTCTGGAAAGCAGAAGTCTACATGAAGTAGGGAAGTAGGTCTTGTGTTCGCAATTCCTCATTTACTGGAATAAAGATAAATGTAGATTAGTGGTTTAAGTGCATTTCCACACCCATCCCCTTTGTGCAGTGTTAAAAAGGAGCCCAATTACTTCTTCGTAGTTAAGAATTAAAAATTAGTTTCCATGTTTCCTGCTTCTGCTTACAAAGTTTGCATCTGATCAGTCCCTTGTGGCTTAACTCAAAACTATCATAGCTCCTTCTTTTAACCAATAACCAACAAACAGTCGGTACCTGATAGTCTAGCTTTACTGATAACAATCTGTGCTTCCACACACAGATCAGTTTTGTAGCAGAATCTCATTAGGTAATTCTCACTATTAAAGTAATGCCATACTGAAAAGCACAAGTAACACTGAAGAAAAACTGAGACACTTAGTTGCATTCCCCTTAGAAAAAGAGTGAATGAAAGGTGACAAAAAGCTAGTATGTCAGATTTTATGAACTACAATTGCCTCCTACAATCTCCTCCCTCAGGATTTTACAGGGCTTGAGCTTTTTTTTTTTTGTGGTAAGACAAAAATCCCCATATATTTACCGAAGTAAGAGTTTTGGCTCAAACTGCACAATACCACTTTAACAAACACTACTTTGTTGAATGTTTTCCCCAAACTTATTTCTACCAAAACAGCTCATTTTTACACACTCAGTTAGACTTTTGCTTTGGTGTTTACAATCAATCGTCCAAAGACAATACAGCTAAGAATGACAGTTTTAAAAGGCACAAAGGAAGCTGATGAGAGTAAAAGGAACTAGCATATCCTCATGTTTTGGAAATACCAGCAAAATGATGCTAGCTGCAGATCTACATCTCTGATGCCTGCTTCTCTCTCTCTCCAGTACATGATTGGCCAAGAAAGAGTATGGAAGAAATACTTACCATCTGGACAAGGCAGATACCCAGCAAACAGTTGTTACAAAACAAGCACTTAGCTCTCAAACTGGATTCTGGCCCCAAAAAGTATATGTGATTTTTAAAACACAACTCTGTGTAACAGGGAATCATTTTCTAGACAGAATTCATAAACAATACGAAGTTGTCAAGCAGAATAATCCCCCAAAATGAAATCACTTTCATTTTCTTCCTATCAGAATTTTATCACACCTATCAAAAAAATGCAAATCTAAAGTCATCCCCAGGAGGAATACCAGGTTTCAAAGAGTATTAAAACCAACACATCCTAAGTATCACAAATATACTTAACTCCCCATTCAATAAAATATCGGAGTATCAATTTATTAAAAAGTTATGTGAACTGTACATATGTAAACAGCAATATAGCTGAAAAATCTGAAATATATACTTTAAAAGGAAAATCATTTATTTATGAAAATATTTAAAATATTGCATTTCTGGCAGCAAATTTAAAAGAAGTGCTCTGGAATGGGTGCAGTCTCTCTGTGCATTTGTCTAGCGTTTATCTTCAAGGTGTAAAACATATCTCCTTTCTGATTTTTCATAGCATAAGCTCATGAACATGTTCTTTCTGACTTGTAGAGACAGAATTCGATTTCCAAGAACAGCAGCAGAATTTTAACAGGAAATACTATGGTCCTTGTCGGTGCAGACAATACATTTTCTGAGAGTCCACGACACCTTGGAAATATCCTAGCCATTCTGCATATAAATGCATCAGATTGCGGTTACAAGCTACAGAATAAGTCTTTGATTGATAATTTTTCTGTTTATTTCCGCCAAGGCCACTGAAAATACGAAGGCCTTTTCATCTGAAAGGTTAGCATACATGTCAACTTCTTTGTCTTGTTTCTCTGTAGAAGAAAAAAAAGTCACTATTAGAGCTTTTTCCATTATCCAAAGTTAATGCAAGTCACATAGTAGCTAATAAATTATGTGGAATGGAGTACTGGAATTGAAAAGAAGTTAGACAATCAACTCCTATGCAAGGAGAGACTGAGAGAGAGGAGGAAGGAATGGAGGCACACAAAGGTGCTAGAAGAGTCACAGAATTAGTCATCCAGAAGCATGACTGAATTGCTGTTCTTTAATGACAAAGAAAGGATGAGTCACTAACACTATATTGATACCTAACACAAGAGCGTTCAAGTGTTCCTCCAGTTTGGGGTATTTCTTTTTGCTTTTACATAAACACCTCCCATCCTAGAAAACAAAGATACCTCACAATATCCTCATTAAATACAACATTTGTCCTGCATTTTATATGTAAGTAACAGAAACCCAAGAGTTTAATTAGTGTCCAACACCAAAGAGCAGATACATGGCAGAAATCAGGTTCACAACTTGTCGCCATGAACAATCCTGGACTTTCTGTACCACAAACTTTCAATGTTATCCCAGATATAGAATAACAACAACACCTCAGTGAGCAAGGGAAAGCCTCTGAACTCCCTCTGTTGATGCTGCCTTCCTTCAAGGCTACAGATACACAACAGCAAACTACACCAAGGGGTTTCTGCAGTGCTCAAGTACACTAGGTTACAGTATAGCATATGATAAGTCATAGAATAGTACTTTCATAAATATCACTTACTCCGGATCATGACTATTTATATCCCAGTTTAGCTAGCCACCAGTACCTGACACAACTCATTAAGAAAAAAAAAAAAAACAAACAAAAACCAGCTTGGTCAGCAGAAGACCAGGCTTGTAGATACAGAGAAGAGAGGAATACATTTAGAGCTTTAAGGTTGGTGTCTAGCTGTGGAACTCCATCTCTGATCCAAGTTCCATGGTGGCCTGGACTAATTTACAATCACAACACAATGCTCACCTGACAGACCTCTCTAACACATACATGTGTGCTCTTTTTTCCACAGCACACGCTGGCAGACTGCTCTACCAAGACACCTAAATCAGCAATGGGCAAGTGAAAGACAAAGCAGCATTGGAAAATAATGGCACCACGTGGAAAAAAGATCCCAGCATTTCATGCCTCCACCTACTCACATAGTTATTCCTTCAGTGGGTCCACATTCATAACAATATTTTTAGATTTCACTTCATACCTGATTGTCTGTGTTACAGCTACAGACACCATTCCAACAGACTACCTTCCCTGTGACATCAAGTACTTCTGTTAAATAACTAAGTAGCATAGACTGAAAAACCCTTTACCACTGTGTTCTGATTTAATACTGATATAGAGACACAGCAACAAAACCTTCTACTTAAAGATTTCTGGACAACTTAAATCACACACAAGCTCACCTTTCCTTGCAAGTAAAATTGCTTAGTGAGGAGCCTGGAGACACAAAAATGCATCAGTTTTTACTCTGAAAACAAGAAACTTGCCTTAGCAAAGTAAAACAAATCAAAGCATGTTTGATATTTGGCATGTAAATTATTTCTGCTGGTTCCCTGGCTACGCAAGACAATATTCTCTAGTGTATTGAGTTTGAAATGAAAGCTAAGAAACCGAGTTTCAGTGCAAGTCCCACCCTGTCGTTTAAGACAAATCAGTTTCTCTGTGTATACTCAGTCTGGGTTGCTCCACTTCCTCCCTCCCACCATTTACAAATTAACAATGCTGGGAGTCATTCTGAGCGCAGACATCACACACACTGGTTATTGCACATTAACCTATTCTATTTTCATATCTAAACCCCTCCCCTTTTTTCATACTTCCTGATCCAAACAAATCCAGCCACCACCTGACTACATTAGCACTCAGCAAAATTAAAAATACTTCCCCCCCCAGTTACTGCCAACAGATCATAGACTTGGCAAAAAAAAACAACCACCCAAACTTTCTCAAGTTTCCCTTCCCTGCCCCATCCTCCCAAAGTACTGGCTTGTTCTGAGAGACCTCAGCTTTAAAGAATTGACATCTTGATATCAAACAGCATCAGGGATTAACACACGTTTGCAAGTTTTAGGCTTTCTTAAGACAATTACAGTTCTCAGCAGTAACTAGGGAAGAGCTTGCACCTGCCTGACATTTTATCATACGCTACTCAGAGGATACCATGGTTTCTACAGACACTATTAAAACTTTCCGCTCCACAGTCTTATCTGAAAGTAGTTTTGACTCACTTCTCTATTGTTAGCAAAAGACTCTTACAGAATCACACCATTTTTTTAAGACATTCAAAATATTAAGTCTTTTGATATACGACTAAGAGGCTATTTAGATGAATATATTCAGTCTTTCTGTAGCATGTCTCTCACATCCCCAGATCTCCTGCAACCCACTAGAGCCACAGCCCTCAAAATCGTGATCTATGTATAAATCAAACATGGACCCTCTCCCCTCACAAATTTTGTATGGATTCAAAATCCAAAGTTCTATCCAAGATTCACTATCCAAGATGGCAAACTACTTCAAATGTACACATTGAGCAAGCAAATGTATGAGTAATACAGTTGGAAATTACTGGAAAAGGAAAACTTTTTTTTTGTTTTTTTTTTTTTTGATGACCAAAAAAAAAAAAAAAAAGAAGTTTAATTCTGCTTAAATTTTATCAGGATACAGAGATTCACCCCTTGTTAGGTATCAAGTATGCTTTAGTAAGACTCCAGGACACTCTTATTGTCACTTGATGGTAACCTCTTTCAAGAGCAGAATAACCAATACCACTTCCTCCAGAATACAAGGGGTTTTTTTGTTTGTTTTAATATAATCAACGTTGTTACCTAGATAACAAGGCAGCCTGGGAACAGGTCTAGCTGTGTATCACAGACCCACACAGTAAAATAAAAGACATACTACCACCACAACAATCAGAATCAGATTATTATGAAGTTTCTACTCACAAATTATACTGTAGCATTTCTGACAAAGAAATTAAGTGACAATTTTGACAAGCCAAGCCCGCAGCGAGAAGTTCCTATTTTCCAGGGTCATCACATGGCTCTGAAACCTGCGATAGGAATATTCTCTGGGTCCCAGCGCTCTGCCATATCCCCTCAATCTACATCAGCTTCCTCTTTCCTCCCCCTCCATTCCTTCTTACTAAATCTGCAGGAAAAATAGATTATTTTAAATTCCCTTTTGGTTCTCCTATTCTTCAAAACTACTGTTGAATCCTGCAGCTCTGCTCTAATGTGAACCAGTCACAAAGGATACAAAAGAACTAGTCAAAGGCACAGACATAACTGGGAACAAGCCCGCTATGTGTGAAAAGAGCACAACACAAGCAAGGAAGCTAAACTACAGATGTCAGGGGTGTCTTTAGGAAAAAAAATTTCACAGCTGGGTGGTCTTCAAATGGACAGATTATATGCTCTTGCATGCTGTTATAATTCATGTGTTCTCTGTCCTCCTGTTTTTCATTTACAAATGAATTAGGCATTGCAGAAGCCTAAGAGGCACCAAATATTTAACAGCTTTGCAAGCAGTGGTCTCTTTTCAAGTCTTTTGGGGGAAAAGAAGAATAGCACAATCTCTAATAGCAAGTAATGTGTACCCAAAATATCCTAGAAATATACAATAGGCAAGAAAATAACATACTTAAAGTCTAACACTAAGCTAATGTCTTGCACTCCAGAGCTGACTTTCAACACTATGCAGACCGATACAAGGACCAGCAATGACTCACACAAAAGCCACCTCAATTGGCATAGAAGAACTACAGTTGCTTAATATGCTTTTATGCAAACACTATCAAGCAGCAGGTTTGGTAAAGGAAGAATATTTCTAAAATGCCCCCTAATAACTCCACACGTAGTCGTTACAGAAATTTTATAAGCCACTTGAAAAGGTATAAGTCAATGTTAACATGTTTTATAGTACTTACTTACAAAATGATGGGCTCTTTGATGTATTTATTTTTATAGCCATGACAGCCATATATATCAACTTTTTGTTTGTTTTTTTAAATCTGCACAATAATCACCACAGTGGTCTACACACATTACAGTTTGACATAAGCAGAAATAAGTCAGAAGTAAGAAAATATCCTAAGCCCACTTACTCCTAACTAATAAGGTGTGCTGTACTGGTGAGGAGCAAAGATAACTATATTTGAGTGTGAACCCAAGCTCTATACCAGTTCTGCAGAAGAGGTCAAGGAAGAAATAGTAGTAGTAGTAGTCACAGTACCAAGCAAAAGGGATGGTAGGACAGGACAAGAAGATGAAGACAATCTTCTCAAGTGAGATTCAACTTAAAAAAAACAAAACACCAAACACCAAGAAAACAACACATCACACACACACTCTTATGCAAAGATCTCACTACACCTGTACTTCTAATTTTCTACCTCAGAGCACTGGCATATTGTCACACTTCAGCATATACAGCAAGAGGTTAAAAACATTCAACCTAGTTTTGGATAGGAAAACATGTTCTCTAAGTATCCCTCATGTTTTCAAATTCTTGCTTTTCTGAGACTATAAAAGATGCATTAAGAGAATGGATCTTTTCTTTTGATTGCTTAGATTGCTTTCCTCTTTTTCAGGGGACAGGAAAGAAGATTTACTTTAATAGGGCAACCCAACAAGCTTGCAGGAATTTTCAAACCAAAGCTGTGTGTGAACTAGACTGGCAGTAAAATGCTAGAAATGATCTTATAGGTGCTAGACAAAGTCTAGCTTGGGTCAATAACAAATAGGGAAGCTCTGTATTCCGTGAAACTACATACATCAATCCATATGCAACAGTGAAGAGATTAGATATTCTAAGTGTATTTTCCTATTACAGTAAAGCATTTACCATCCAGAAAACATACAGAATTCAAATTCCATCTCTTCTTTCCACAGCCAAAGCACTAAAACAACAACAAAAGCCCCAATTCATACTTTGTTTTTACAGGAAAGAAACTTGAAGAATGAACAGATTTACATTAAACAGCGGAGACAACAAAATTGGTTTTGAAATGTTAGAAGTTAAAGGAACTCACTTTGCAATGGATTTACACCCATTTCTGTTAACAAATAAGGTGGCAGGGGAAAAAAACAATTGCATTTCTGAGTATGCTTCACGGTTTCAGTAGTTTTAAGAACAAGATCTTCTGAATATTTGTAAGATGACTTGCTCTTCCCCTCCTATCCACCTTTGAGCCTTTTTAAGTCTATGTTGAGTTCTAGATAAGGCCTAAAATGAGTACCTCCAAAACCATAGATAGCAAATGCAGTATCAATAGGCTCTTTAAAAAAATAGGAATCCTAAGTGACAATCACATACTTGAAGGGCTCCAAAATTGTGCATGTAACAGTCTCTTTATTGTATAAAGATTAAGAACCACAAATTACAAAGGAATCTTAATAAAAGCAAGGAGGCATTCCTTCCTCTAGAGTATTATTCTGTAGAAGCATGGGACAAAAAAAATATCAGGTCATAGTCATGACTCTAGATGCCCTTTTTACTTTGGCCCTCCAAGTTTCAAGGAACTTCTTAAGCAATCCAATCATCCTAATCACTCTCTGATAACAGGCATCATCATATTGTTTGCCCTTGTGATATAGAGCAGCGGTACATCAAAAAAAAACCAAAAATCCAAAACCAAACCAAAAAACCTACTAAGCACAACAGCCCCATGGCTTTCAACCTACATATTGAAACTTGATCTGATGGCTGAAAATACAGATTTAGTTCTTTATAGTTAGTTCCAATCACACACCGAAACATAAAACCAGAGGTCTCTACAGATGTGAAACAGTCCCTTCCCCATATTAAGATATTGGGTATTGGCTGAACCAGTCTAGTTACTTAAATGGTTTGAATGGTATAAAGGTTTATTGAGGAAAAAAAGCTGCATACAAAAAGAAAACCCAATGAACACATTTCTCCAGTTCTCATACCTCTTTCTTCTTCATGCTTTTTGGCTGAGGCACTCTTAGGTCTTCCTCTTCCTCGTCTGCTGTGATCTGAATGGCTGTTAGACCTGGATCTTTTTCGGTTTTCTAAGTCTTTACTTACTGCAGAATTTATCTTCTCTCGCTTAACTCTCTCTGTCCGTCTCCTTTTGGCCTCACTCTTGTTTTCTGTGCAAATGAATAGAGATAGCATGATCTAGTGTTTTCATCTTTGTTCTTAATTTACTCTTAGTGCTACCCCACCCAATCACCTTTTTTCTTTAAATCTCTTAGCAAAAGTGATTAGATGTCTATACCTTTACAGAACAATTACATCTGCACGACATCCATGCAGAAATTAAGATGTCAGATCCAGAATGACACTTCACTTCTTCATGACAAGGATCAAGCCTTTAGTTATTTCAAATGCCTTTTGCAACATGAGACATTTGCTAGTATACAAAAAGTTCACCATTTCCCATAATAAGATGGAAAAATCCCCTGTACAGATCACCGCCACCAAGACAGACCACTGCATTTGTTTCCACTAGCCAAAAGAAGTTTATCATATCAGTAAACAGCAAAGTACTTCATCTTCTTTTGACACTAACAATGAAATCATTCTTGCTGCTCACACAAATTGAAACACTGAGTCAACGATGATGTCAGTAAATGCCACATTACATAGCATACATGTCCCACCAAATTTAGCCTATGACAAGGCTTCATAATACTTAATGCAGAACAGGTGTATTGTTGTCCTACACACCAGAGTCAAATAAGAGTATTTACAGGAGTTTTACCTGTAAGTAAAGTACGGATTAACGAGCTTGGGTACTAAAAACAGTAGAGTCACCACAGCACGCTATTCAACACAGACTAGTTGTAGATTTGCAAGGCTGCAGGACCATTCTGCAGCAGCTATATTGTCGAAAATACTGGAACACCACTTTCTAAAAGAAGTTGCAGTTACCTTATGACCACAATATACACATACACAGTTTCCCTCTATATCTTCCCAGGGAAGTGGTTTCCTTTTGCTGCAGTTGTCCCATTAACCTTGTATTAGACACAGGGTACAAACTGGACAAGCAGGGTAACTTGTCACTAATACAAGAGCTGTACTTCACAGTGTCACAAAAAGGCTGAGGTAGCAAGGGATCTCTGGAGACCAACCCAGCCAACCCCTCGGCTCAAGCAGGGCCACCAAGAGCCAGTTGTCCAGGACCATGTCCGGATGATTTTTCAGTATCTTCAAGGATGGTGACTCCACAACTTCTCTGGGCAACCTGTGCCAGTGCTCGGTTACCATTACAGTAAGAAAGTGTTTCCTGATGTTCAGAAGAAACAGCCTGTGTTTCAGTTTGTGCCCGCTGCCTCTTGTCCTGTCATTGTGCATCACTGAAAAGAGCCTGGCTCTGTCTTCTTTACACCCTTCCTTCAGGTATTTATATACATTGACAAAATTCCTCTGAGCTTTCTCTTCTCCAGGCTGAACAGTCCCAGCTCTTGCACTTTCCTCAGAGGAAAGATGCTCTAGTCCATCATCTTCGTGGCCCTTCACTAGACTCTCTCCAGTATGTCCACGTCTCTCTTGTACTGGGGAGCCCAGAACTGGACACAGTATTTACTCCAGATGTGGCCTCACCAGCACTGAATAGAGGGGAAGGATCCCCTCGCTCAGCCTGCTGACAATACTTCGCCTAATGCAGCCCAGAATATTGTTAGCTGCCTTTGCTGCAAGAGCACATTGCTGGCTCATGTTCAACCTGCTGTTCACCAGGACCCCAGGTCCTTTCCTGCAAAGCAACTTTCCAGCAGAGTGGCCCCCAGCATATATCCGTGCATGGGGTTCTTCCTCCCTGGTGCATTTCCTATATAAAAAACTGAATTATACAAGACCTTTGCTCTACTAGATTATGGCAACTACTTTATCAACTTTGAAATGAAACAGTCAGGGAGGGAGAAAGAGAATAGACCAATGCTTCCAAACAGTACCACTGACATTGCTTAACTGAACTTTCAAGGTGGAGGAGGTTATTTAGCATAACGTAATGTAATTCCTACAAGATGGCAGACTACAATTATGCTTCAAAATAGCGATACAAAATATCAAATACTTAGTTTCCCTTTTGTAGGCCTGGTAGATACTTTTAAAAAGTAGACATTATAAATCAGATACTTTTTTTTTTTTTTAAACATCTTCTCTGACAGGTGTGTGCTCTGATTAATTCCTACTAGGACTGGAGGAAGTGATAAAAATGAACACAAGGAGAGTGTTAATCATGCCAGAATGCATATCCAACTGACTTCTTACTGTGCCAATCAACAGCAAAAGATATACAAGTAAGACAAAAAATACACCATTTTTTAACTTAACCACACAAAGAGAAGCAAGACCCACCTGCGTTTACATTTTTATCAATCATTATATGACTATTTTTATACAAAGTGCCATTCAGGTGTTCATGAATAAGTACAATTCTTCCAAAAAAGAGGATTTTCACTTTCAGAAAACCCAGCTTCAATGAGCATGTACTCTGAAATGCTGGCCGTTTGGCACCTCTAGTCATTTAGCCTCAAAACAGGATTAACAGAAAGCTTTCTGTAAAGAGTTATTTAGCATAGTGACCAATGTGCGCAGCTACCATATACACAGAGTAAATGCCAACATCACAGGTATAAAGGAAGTAAGGCTGAAAACACCAGCATTTAAAAGTCTACCATGTACAAATTCAAGGGAAAGTGAACTGACAACAGTCAATTTACACAGAGAAATAAAATACTCTATCCTTTGCCTCCAAGAAATAAAGGGAAAGAACTGGTGTCCTCTTCTTCCCATCGCTATAAGTATTACCTGTGATGGGTGGTGATCTCTCAGCACGTTTAGCATGCAAGAGTTTTCGACTAATAAATATGTAGCCGCAGGGACATGATTTACATGCAACAGGAACCTGTGAAAACAAAACACAAATATTTCAGATAATTTCAAATTATGACAAAATTCCTGTCTTATGAAGAAAAAAAAAAATTCGTAACTTGCATTTTGTCTTCAGACATACCTCTTCAAATTCAGTCTGTAGTGCAAACTATGACCTGTACTATTAAACAATTGTATTTAAACGTAGTAAAACCAGGTTCTGCTGTGAATGACCCACCAAGCCTTTTCTTTATGCAGTTAGAAATCAAGCTTGAAATGTACAGCTATTGTGACCTCTTTGTACTATAAGCCCTTTTCCCCAGACTGTCAGGAAAGGCGATGGGGAAAAGTGGAGAGCCCTAAAGAAAGGGTGAGTTAGAATAGAAATATAATTTCTCTTCAGAGCTCTCAAATATCCCCAGTGAAATCAGTCAGATGTTCACAGTTTTGCTTCCTTCATTTAGTTTAAATAAAAAAAAAAAAGGAAAGAAAAAGTCAGTACATTCTGAACACATTCACTTGAAAGTAACTCCTTTAGAGAGCAGGAGCAGCTTTAAACAGGAGGCACAACAGAGCCCTAAGCAAAACAGATGCATTTATACCACACTCTACAACACCGTTGTGGACAAGGCTGGGTGGTTGCAGAAGGTCCTAGTTAGTTCAAAATGCAAATAACCTACCAGAGTCAGTCAAAAGCTGACTGTAGGATGAAGAGTTTGAGAGACCATAGTGCTGCTCCTGATCAGCTAAGCAGTCAGGAACAGTAGATTCCCCCAGCACAGAACAATTCAAAAAACTGTGATGCTGATAAACTACAAACCTCATTGCCTTCACTTAAAGCCAACATCTTTCAAGATCTTTTAAAGTAGTAAGGAATACACCATATTGCTTTGATTAGGTTTAAGACTGAAAACACAAATCAAAGCAAGTTTAAGCAGAGATCTGGAAGAGATTAACACATATTAAAGTCAAGTCATGTTGAAGCACGACAGTGGGGAAAAAACCAGGAGGTAATTTCTCAAACGTAATTCTTTAAGACAGGTCTCTACAAGTTTGCCAATGTCCACTGAAACAAACAGGAGTACAAAACTACAACTGCCTGCTCAATTTTACTGGACAAGCATAAGAATCAAGTTCCAATGTTCTACGGGCTAGGAAAAAAAACCTGCCAAATCAGTACATGAATTTGTAAAGGGTAACTTAACTGCTACTCATAATACGCAAATTATTTTGCCTTCTGTAGCACATCTTAACTCCTGTACTTCACCCTAACAGCTTACAGATAAACTTTTAATACAAGTTTTATATAACTAGAGACTTTTTAATTCCCTTTATGGAGACACTGACATAATAAAAACAATTCTAATCAAGGTTTATTGAACCTTAAAGCTCAGAATATAGCAGACGTGCACTTATCTCCTTGTTCCTAAGTCAGTATAAGAGCACTAAAAAAGCACTATTTAGCAGATAGTTTGTCTGTACTGTTAAGGTGATACAGGAGTTCCATTTAAGCCCATTTTTGAATACTGGTGTCTCTGCAATAATTACCTTTCCAGGCTCAGCCTAGAAAAAGTTGGGGAAAACCACCCAAGGGGATTGGAACAGACCCAATATTTTTCAGTGAACTTAACTGTGTTTAAAAGAGCAATATTGTTCTCCTGTTACAAGTTTGGCACGTAGGTGTGTGTGTCATTTGGTGGGGATTAGGTGAGAAGGGGCTTATTCACTGAAAGATCAGTGTAGGTCCTGAAAAGGATAACTGGTATAACATCCTGTAACATAATTAAGACAACATAGTCCTACAAACAGTGGTTTACTCTGTTTAACATTTTCCTAGCCAAAAAGAAATTGAGTTTCTCATACAAGAAAGTTTACCTGAAGCTAAATTAGGAAGTGATAATTATTTCTTCTGATTGACTTCAAGCTCCCTAGTTTAATGGGGCCATGCTTTGGTTGTGATAATATCTTCAAAAACCTTTTTTTTTATTTAAAAAAAGTCTAAATGGCAATTACATATCATCTAAATTACAACAGAAAAAGTTCAAAAGCCTAAGAAGTGTTACTCAATATTGTGCTCCAATATTTGTGGCTTACTAAGTATTTCCACGCATGCCACTTCTAATGAAGAAATCAGAAACAAATGCAAAGCCCTTGTTTACGGAAGAAACGCAGTACAGGACACAACCGCTTCAGAGTCTCACAACAGCTTCCCCATACTCTGCAAAGGGCTGACTTGTACTGTAGGTTTTAGTTTCTTGTCTCCTCTCAAATATTTGGCACTTGAAAACAAGGTCCTATAAGCAATGCCTGTGCAGGACATAGGCACATTAATTCCATGTTAGCCACAGAAAAGTTGCTAACAAAAAATCTCCATAGACATGCATATCATATGTTTTAAAGTGCAGAACAAAGTGAAAGGTTCAGCACCAGCTTAAAAAGCCTGTGTTTGCTTACTTGCTTTTCCTATCGATGGTGGTTTGACATTCACTACATTTATTAAAAAAAAAAACAACCAAACCCAAAAACAGAAGAACACACCACCACTCATATTCAGCTTCTCCCTCATTTCAATTCCTTCTTTCTCCACCTGAATAACCAGAACTTGGTACACAATGTTTTCTCAGAAATAGTACTTCAGTGACGTGCTTAACATGTGAGCATCTGCAGTGGTTCATCTATTGCTTAAAACATGAAAGGATGCCCCCCACACAGCTTAACATTCCAAACTGTTCCAGGACGAGTAGAAACGCTATAAAAAACTACACAAGTCAGAACAAATAAGATTACTTTTTTTTTTAATCTTTATGAGTAAAGAAAAATGGCATGAGATTATTTTTTAAGGTTAGCCAGAATAGTGTATACCAGTCAAGTTTCAGGATCAGATAACAGAAACGCGTTTCCCATGACTACATGTAAAAGCCTCTCCCCCTGCCCTGAGCCCCACAGCAGCCTTCTGCAGTGCTGTGCTATTGTTCCAGCAGAGGAGCACTGCTGGAACAAACTGGCCTATTTTTAATAGCAACATCATTACCAGTAAAAAGCATAAACGAAGGCAAGCTCCCGATATAGTAACAGTTCAAATCAGCTGTTCTTAATGTTTAAGTGTAAGTAACTCCATTTTGTACACATAACAAAACTGCAGTGAGACAACAGTTCACGTATATGCTTTGACTAGATGATAGAAATAGCAGCAAAAGTCTCGATTCTGCTGTTTCTGAACTACTCCATGAGAAAACAACACGACTGAACGCTCTCCCGACTAGCCTTAGGCAATTAGTCATCCGAAGGACAAACTGCGTTGCATAAATTACAAAGTTCATTATATTTTTAATAAGTGACACAGTTCGTAAACGATACCAGCGCATAAAAAACCGATTCTGCACGTCGCTTCAGCGTAATACAAGTATTACATTAGCCTGCAAAAGGAACACGGTATTTAATCCACATTCCAAGCAGAGACTGCAAAGGCAGCAATTTGCTTCACAGCGGCACGGCGAGTTTCATTTTCTGCCCCTCAGGACCAAACAGCTCAGCCGACAGCTTCTTGTCGCGGCTATTACAAACGCGGGGGCTGCAGCGGGGGTCTCCGAGAGGCAGCCGCCGCCGGGCGGAGGGCGGAAAGCAGGAAGCCC